GTATTATTTCACTGACCATTATAATTCATGACTACTATAAAAACAACAATAATAATTTTTCTTTTATTCCAAAGTAACGTCTCCGACATTTAGTCGATATATCTATAATTGTCTTTACTACATCACTCACAAAACCCTTGCATCTCACATTTATAATACAACAAATTAAAAAAAGACAAATAATTGTCTTCTAATTACAATTTTAGTGCATGTTAGTAAACAGTCCACATGCCTTCAATATGCTTGTATGGTTTTAGCTTAGCTAGGCGCAGTGAAAATGTATATAAGTTTATTACTAACAACTTCCATATCACCTATCATTCCACAACTTCCTACAACATTACCTATTTATGTCATTAACCAGTAATATGAACATTACTGCATTCCGATTTGGAAGAGTAAGTGTGCTAATGAAATTACAGCACATGGGGCTTGTCAACTTTTGTCTCAAGTTGACGTTAAAAATCATCTTTGTGACTTAAAGCTCTTGAGTGGCACTGCAATTTTTATGGGTAGACGTGTTGCTTACCATCAGACGCACGACTTGTTCTTCTCGTCAGTATATCATATAATATAAAATATATAAAATATCTTGTAAAATATGAACAGTTTTTAGGAATTATTCTTATTTTACACGCCTATCTTGCGTGTAGTGAAACTGGTTGCAGTAGAGGAACTGTAGTCCTTAACAGTTTAAATAATACTATAGTCACCCTATAACGACCTCTGGGAACCGATCCAGGCACAATAAGGAAATAGTCCCGGTCCGCACGAAAATCGCCCGCGCGTGAGTCCAGACCCTCTCCGCCCACTTCTTTTACCCCCTTAAAGCCTCTCTTAAGGCCCTCTCAGTAGCTCTAATGACGATCCTCAATCCCTATTAACGTATCAACTACACATCGTTATGGCAGGACTCTTTTACGGTCCTAGATAGAATTAGATTGTTAACTTTTAGCACTATTCAGTGGAAACTTGATGCAGTTGGGATGGCAGGGTAATTGCGTGGTTGGAACTTAGTATTGTGGTTTTCGTTTGGTACAATGTTGCAGTAGGCAATGAGAAAGGGAACATTTCTTCTACAAATAAAAGATGGTCGATTACTTCAGCTTTTTTTTATATAATACTAAGAGACGGGACGAGCAAGTCGTGTACCTGGTGGTAAGCGACACGCCTATCCTTAACAATGGCAGTGCCACTCAGAGCTTTAAATCACAAAGATCAGTATTACTGTGTTCCGGTTTTAAAGGGTAAAGGTGCTGGTGAAATTACAGCCACATGGGACTTGTCAACTTATGTCTCGAAGTGACGGGCACAGTGGCAGAGCTTCTAAATATCTTTGCGATATAAAGCTCTGAGTTTCACTGCAACTGCTATGGATAGGTGTGTCGGTTACCACCAGGCGCACGACTTGTTCGTCCCGTCATTTGGTATTATATAAAAAAGCCACATGTAATATACCTCATAGGTGCTTTTATCACATGAAATTCATAAAGATAGAACGAACTACATGAAACAAATTATTTACACGTGAATTTTTTTATGTATTGTATTTGAGCGTAAAAAGTTATAAACTGATGTCATTCGTAGAATCTTTAAACTTCTTTCTTGAAAAGTTGTCATTTTCCAGTTATCGCCTTATTATACTATGAGTGCGAAGTAAAGATAAAACAAGTTTTATAAAAAAAAATCCTTTATTATTGTATCGAGGTCACCAACGGCATACCATAAAAGTGCATTAACAAAATTATTCGAAATTAAATAATGTCGTCTTCGTGATTGTAGTTTTACCAATTTAAATTTGCTGTCGACTCCGAAGCTTACGAGGGTCTTTGAAATACATTCATCAAAACCCTACAACAGGCAGATCTTTGTGCTTTTCCAATAACGAAAGACAAGTCTGCTATCAAAAGTGAATATTGCGACACAACTCAGATTTTGATAATATTTTTATATGCTCTACCAATTTGTTCATAATATGCATGCTATTTATACAATATTAACGATGTTGTTTTCGTTGTTAATTACGTCTTTATTTAAAAATGTTTGCATGTATTTTTTCTTTTTTAATAAGATGTCAGGGGGTATTCTATCGGAGTTATTATTTATAGATATATCATGCATAATTCTAAAAACCCTTCTACAAAAAACAGTAGCCATTACAGTGGGTTTCAAAATTTCCTGACCGCAATACAAAGTGTGTATATACCTCAATTTGATAACCATCAGTGAAAATAACCTATTGCAGCTCCCTTTGCAACACAAAAGAATTGCAAACGACATTCTTAAGACATGTACGCAACTGTCATATAAGTTTAATTATGTATTAAATACTCAAGTTTTGTGATGAATTTTGTACAGTGTTCTTTCTTTAACACAAAAGATGTTTTAATTTTTTTATTATACCAATTTGCAGTGCCATTTAGAGCTTTAAATCGCAAAGATCTTTAGGGGTACTGCCACTGCGCCCGTCACTCTGAGACATAAGTTGACAAGTCCCATGTGCCTGTAATTTCCCAGCACCCTTAACCTCTAAAACCGGAACGCAGTAATGCTCACATTACCGCTTGGCGAAATAGGTAACGTGGCAGTACTTCCCTGAACAAACTCTTTCACAAGGAGCTCTACTACTACTAGATTGATTTACTTATAAGTTGTTTTATTTGTGCATGTAAATGAAAGAGACCTATTGTTCATTATAATAATTTAAATACAGCTCGAGTTTTCTTGGTAAATTCGACCTTGGAATATGAGAGGTTTTCAGTTAAACTATTATTACAATTATAGTCTGTTGCAGAATTTCTTAATTAAGTTACATTTAAAGGACACAATACTGGATTTTGTCTTAAAGCCTTTCTTTATCGTACAATTTGTTTATTTCACGAGTAACTTAGACTAACTTACTATGTAATTTACTCAAAGTGACTTGACAATGAGAAGCAGGCAGATGGCGTACAAGACACGGTTGACAAAGAATGCTTCTTTGCTAATTAGCCAAGTAAATGAGAGCGCGCTCTTGCTTTCACGCTGACCGACAAACGCGGCGACACGATGCGCGGCGCATGCGTCATTTGACGTAATTGGTGTGGAGACCTTCCACAATCCTTGTAATGGTAGACAGGCAGTAGATGACCTGAGGTACAATGAAATGTCGAAATTCCTTTAGTACTAGGTTGGTACCTACTTTACTAACTACACCATTGCCGTGTATGACAACTATAATTATTATGCAAATGTTTAATAAGTGAATTGGACATTAACCGTTGTCGTCATCTGTAGTCGTTGTCTTAACTAGGGTGCGAGAAAGAGATTCCTATTATGAGTAATTATGTAATACTGGCTAATTTCTAGTCATACTTTAATTTATACGTTAAATTATGTATATAACGTCATGCGTTAACTGCCTCCGTGGCCGAACAAGCTCGAACGTGGTCGCACTTCCATGCAGAGGTCCCGGGTTCGATTCCCGGGCCGGGAGAAACATTTGTATGGCCTACATATATTTCACTCGTGAGTTTCAGTGTAATTAGTGATTATCTATGTATGTGTCCATGGCACCCGCGATACAGGGTTTCCCTGGTGCGGGGCTAAAAAAAAATAAAAAGAAAAAAATAAAAATAAATACTTTTACTTTTCCATTTGTCAGTTTTCGTTTAATTCAAAACTTAAATAATCTTTATTTCATAGGTAAGCAAATTACAATTACATTTGAAATCGTCACATTGGTTAAACTTTAGTATTCATTCGTAAGGCAGATTCCCTCAAAAATAATGAGTAAGTAACTCAAAGGATTGATCTTTGTAAATAAACTTTGTTCACCTTTTTGGTTTACAATCAATATACATTTGAAATAGACCGAGACAACCTGGGCTAAAACGGGTAACTGGATTTTTATCATCCAAGTACTCAGAAGCTGTAGTGTAAAGTTTTTGTTTCACTATAGTTTTAAACCTCGCAAATGTAAATGTTGAATACCAATCGGAATTTTATTATAGAAGCGTATTGCTCTCAAATGAATTTGTGTCTTTGTGAAGACGACTGTCAAAAAAGCCAGTTTATATTTATTCCTCGTGTTAAAGTTATTTTCATCACAATTTTTAAGAAAATAATTAATAATCTTCTTAATATAAACTAAATTTTCATAAGTCGACCATTCACACATTCGGTGTTCTCAGCCTAATTACCGTAGCCATTTCGGTGTTCTCAGCCTAATTACCGTAGACATTGTGTTTTCTCGCTTATTATAACCAATAACATTGAAATATGAATAGCTTTAAGTTAAACTATCAATATGTCTAAATGGCATTGAAACAGATAAAGTAGTTTTCGAGTTATTAAGACATAAATATTTTATGCAAACGGTAATCAGATCTATTTAACTTTCTATTTACGGTATCATCATATATATTACATTCAATTACCGTATCCATAAAATATTTAAATCTTAGTAAGTCGAAAACTACTTTGTCTATTCTAATGCCATTTAGACATATTAATAGTTAAGCTACTACTACTACAGTTCTTCATATTTCAATGCTATTGATATTAAGCGAGAAAAAACAATGGATACGGTAATTAGGCTGAGGATACCGAAATGGCTACGGTAATTAGGCTGAGAACACCGAAAGTGAGAATGGCCGAAATGTACTGTGACGTTCGAGCAAAAATGTGAAAAAAATTCTTCAAACTTCTCTTTCATCTCAGTTTTCCGTGATTGATTGATCGGTTTTCATGTGCTATTTTGGCTATTTAGGTTTGTTCTTCAAGAGGGATTTTTGGAAATGTGTGCGCTATTGTTATAATGCTCTGATATTTTTTTTAGTGGACATTAGTAAGAAGACATTACAGTTTCGCTTCGGCACGCGTGCGAGGTAGACGTAGTATCTCTTCGGATATTGTTTACGTTGCGAGGGACGTATCGTGTGAGATTTGACAATAAACGAGAATAATACGGGTAGGCGCGGCCGGCGGCCGCCGCGTACGCCGTTCGGTGAGCAATAGCGATGTACGAGGGAAATGATGAGAACGACAAAACAGAGGGAACGTTTGGAAGGAGCCTTAGTTATTCATCTGAGGATGTGAATAGAGACGACATGCAAATAGAAGAAGAGAAATGTACGAATAATATGAGGGCTACAAAAAGGGATAGGGAGGAAGAAACAGATAATGAATGGACAACCGTACAGAAAACTAAAAAAGGAAAAACCGAAACAATACAGGTGTACATATCAAATAAAGAGAAGTTACCAAAGCAATTTGCTTTAGCCAAAATATTTAAGGAATATAATATAAACCACATTTCGCGAGTAAAGTATTTATCTCCATACAGAGCTCGAATTGATTTTGAAAATGAAGAGGGTTTGGAGAAATTATACTCGTGCAAGTATTTTGATGAACAGGGGTTTAAATTACAAGACTCAATGAATGTCAACCTATCTTACGGTATCATTAAATCTGTAGATCTGGACCTTTCCGAAGAAGACATTTTAAAGGAAATACATTGCCCTAACTCAACAAAACTCATCTCTGTTCAACGTTTACAACGACGAGATAGGATTAAAGAAAGCGATTGGATACCTAGTGAAACAGTCAGATTATGTTTCCAAGGATCATATTTACCACCTTATGTGTATGTCGCAAACTTAAAAATTCATGTCGATCGCTACGTTTTTCCTGTCTCACAATGCGCGCGTTGTTGGCGACTGGGCCACTCCACGAAAAGATGCCCCTATCAGAAAATTATCTGCCCTAAGTGTGGGAATAATCACGCCAACTGTGACACTAAGACATTTAAATGCGTAAACTGTGGTGGTAATCATATGGCGTTGGATAAAATATGTCCGGCATATGTAAAAGAAAAAACGATTCGCGAATTAATGTCTGATTACAACTGTACTTATAGAAAGGCTCTGCTGGCCTATGTACCACGTGAGGAGATAACAATTACAAAGAAAACTTATGAAACTTTATCTGCAACCGGAGACCAGAATAACACTGGAATAACATACCCACAAAACACCTCTCAATCTAGATCCTATGCTGAGATAGTTACAACCACAGCTACTATCGAAAATCCACCTAACTGTTACAGAAAACCAACGCTTCGTACAAGCAAAAACGCGAATATACCGAAGAAGAAAAACCAGTCAAAACCGGAAAATGAATGGGATATGTGGTCACTCCCCGTGTATGGTTCGGCAGATGAACTGACTGACTGTGGAAAAAAGGAACCAAGGAAGCAGGAACAGCCAGAAAGAGGAGTGGAGTTCAATGAGCTTTTATCCAGAATTAGTGACATTATTTTTCTCAAAAAGTGTAACTTGCAGCTCAAAGTGAAACAAATTATTAGTGTGTTTGTAGAGTGGTTAATATTAGTAATAGTAAACAATCTGTCAGACTGGCCAATGTTGAAGGGAATTGTGGAATCTATAACAGGCTTCAATGGATCGTAAAAAGGTAATTTCTATTGATTTAAATATCTGCCAGTGGAACTGTCGAAGCATCAGACCTAAACTTATTGCATTTGAAAATATATTATTACAGGAAAAAATACATATTGCTGTCCTATGTGAAACGTGGTTGGAACCGAACTCGCACTTAAAATTAAGTAATTATAACATTTACCGTTCTGATAGAGATGATGGCTACGGGGGTATCGCAATTATAACACATAAATCAGTAAAAGCACACACAGCTCATGTAGAAGACCTGAATCCACAGATACAAGTTTTACATTTGAAGGTGTGCAACTGTGATGAAATTCAGAATATTATTGCCATTTATTGTCCTTCGTCGGCATCTGTCTCTCGACGTGATTGGGACCGGGTTTTGTCTATTTCCACTAGAAAGACATTGTTATTGGGAGATCTGAACTGTCACCACACTAATTGGTCGTATAAAAATGACGCTAGAGGTATACAAGTACATGACTCTTTATCAGACTTAAATTTAGTAATGCTAAATGATGGAAGTCCCACTTTGGTGAAATTAATTAACGGCCAACTACATCAATCTGCACCCGATCTTTCAATAGCGTCATCTGATATTGCCTTAAAGTTCTTATGGAAACCTATGAAGGAGTCCTTGGGTAGCGATCATTTAATTATCAAAATTTCCACGTGTCTGTATTCTAACTCCAATTTAATATATAAAAGAAACTACAAACAAGCCGATTGGAGTGCCTATAAATCTTGCTTAAAAGAGATTTACTCAAAAATTAAACTTCCCAATGACCTACAAAAGGCATACGATACTTTTGTAGATTTTATTACTTTAGCGGCTGACCTTCACATACCTTTTATCAAAATTAATCAAAACCCAACAGGAAAGTTTTCTCCTAAGCCATATTGGTCTGCGGACCTGTCAAGGTTGGTTGCGGAACGGAGACTAGCCTTATCTAAATTTAGACGGAACCCTACCCCACAAAATTTGGAAATATTGCAGACTAAAATAGATGAGACACAAAAAGCGATTAGACAGGCTAGTAGCAAAAGCTGGCAGACATTTTGTTCTTCTTTTGATGAGGTTACATCTGCCAGTGAAATGTGGAGGAAAATGCGATGGTTAAAAGGCTACAGAAATCTAAATAATTATATTGATACCAACAAAGCTACAGAACTCCCAACCAGTCTCACCCCCGACTTTGCTAGCCCGAAACAGCCCTTATTTTCATCTTGCAACCGGCAATTAGAAAGAGAATTCACCATGTCAGAGTTAATAGTATGTTTTCGAGTCAAGGATACCGCGCCCGGAATTGATAATATATCGTACTCCATGATTAATAATTTGCCAGATAATGCTAAATCTTTGTTGCTACATATTTACAATATATTTTATACGCACAGTTTTGTACCGCTACAATGGCGTGATATAAATGTTATACCAATACCCAAACCAGGTAGAGACCCAACATCTGTCTCAAGTTTAAGACCTATTTCCATGATGTCATGTATGTGTAAAATATTCCATAGTATGCTGAACAACAGACTAGAGTGGTATCTAGAATCAAAAAAAATATTTCTCCGACAATACCACAGGGTTTAGAAAAGGTAGATCCAGTTTAGACAATTTAACTAATTTAATTACGACAATTCAGATTGGCTTTTCAAATAAGAACTCCAGTATTGCCGCCTTTTTGGATCTGGATAACGCATATAATAATGTTGATATAACATGTCTTTTGCATATCATTGATAGATTTGGAGTAGGTGCAAGGGTGTGTAAGTACTTGTGGACTTTTCTCCATTCTCGACAACTTAAAATAAAAGTAGCTGATAAATATATTACACGCAATACCGGGCGAGGCCTAGCGCAGGGAGATCCCTTATCCCCACTTTTATTTAACATGGCTACTATACACATTTGTAAGGATATAAATAACGTATACGTATCCCAATATGCCGACGACTTTGCCCTGTATTTGACTTACCAACACGTTAGAGAAGGAAGTTTGGCTTTACAGTTGGCTCTAAATAAATTTTCAAAATTACTAAGCGTTATAGGACTGGATATATCGGCAAATAAAAGTAAGGTCTGTATATTTAGTAATAGTTTTAGAAGAGATTCAGCACATTTAGTAGTAAACGGGCGACAATTGGAAACGGTTGATAGTGTGAAGTATCTGGGTCTTTGGTTGGATCGGACTTTGAGATGGGGTAGGCACATAAGGGAAACTAAACAGAAAGTCGAAAAATTCACAAATATATTTAAAGTTTTAGCAGGCCCGGGCTGGGGAGTGCACCCGAAACACCTAAGACGCCTGTATATTGCCCTTGTCAGGAGTAGGTTAGATTATGCTAGTTTCCTCTACGATAGTGGCAGTAACTCTCAATTGATGCAACTTGACAGGATTCAGAACCAATACTTGCGAGTAATCGGAGGTTTCATTAAAAGTACACCAATACATGTTATGGAAAACGAGCTATGCCTGCCCCCACTAAATACTCGACGACTCTATTTGGGGGGAAAGTTCTGGTTGAAATGTAAGTCGCTCAAAAACAACTCGTCGATAAAACTAATAAGCCGCCTGACTGAACTCTGTCAATTTGCATACTGGAGAAGGAAAAGGAAGCCGCTTTTGGTGTCGGTGCATGCAACATTAAATGACCACCCCATACGACAAGGCAGTGTAATAGAGATGTTTTCTTTACCCACGTGGGTCAGCAATATGGATTTGACAGAATTATTAAGACCTTTTATTCCTACAATAAGCGGCGCGAAAAGAATACACAATGTATACACTTTAAAAATCATATATGAAAAATATATGTCAGAATGGTACTGTAAATTCTATACAATTTATACGGATGCTTCGAAAAACGACTATGGGATGGGTGTGGCCTTTTACGATCCACAGACTAAAGACCATATAAAACTCAAAATTACGACAAAAATGTCCATAATGAACGCTGAGCTTATAGCTATCCTTGAAGCCCTGTCTTATCTCAGTTCCGTGGAATTTAATAAATGTGTTATTTTGACGGACTCCAAAAGTTCCCTTCAACATTTAGCGCGATGTTCTAGGCCAAGCTTTCGTGGATGTCCTGTCGCATACGAGATCCTCAGTCTGATATGCCAATTACGCAGTGGTGCCAGGGAGATTGTGTTGCAATGGGTGCCCTCCCATATAGGAATAAACGGGAATGAGATTGCGGATAAGTGGGCCAAAGAAGCAACATGTGAGGGCGATACATACTCTTGTGTGCCGTATTTTAGGGATCTGATGTACTTAAATAAGGAACGTTGTTATAGCTCTTTGAAAGCCCACTTTGACGTAAGATCGTTAACCAAGGGAATATGGTATAAAACCATACAACCCAATCTCCCTGGCATACCATGGTTTGTCGATGCCAAAATGAGCAGGCGTGAAGTTGTCACGGCACTGAGGCTTCGCTCGGGACACGTACCTTTAAATAAGTTCGGGTATTTAATGAAAAAGGTGCCTTCACCGGACTGCGAGACGTGTGGAAAATTGGAAGACGTTTACCATGCAATAATGGAGTGTAGTAGTAGTGAAATTATTAGGCAACACATTCCAAATTTGAATTCATACTCGGTAGGCATGTGCAACAGCATTTTGGCCGCTCCTTTATGTAAGGAGGCCAGAATGCTGTTCAATATGATTAAAACCGCCATAACAAGAGTGTAAGGCCTAACGCCTTACACCCTTGTTTGTGGTGGTAGTGGAATCGCACCTATGAGGGTGACATATCTACACAGATAAAACCCTCATAAAT